TTGATGGATATTTTAATTAGCGTGAGTTAATCATTTCACAATGTATTAACTACTACTAATAGCCTGCTATGGCTTGGAAGCCTTACCAATAACAGAAACAGTTAATTAACACATAGTTTTATATTATGTGTACTGCATAGTGTATTCTTAAAGTAAGCTAGAGGAAATAAAACGTTGTGAAGAAAATATATTTACTATTTTTTTTTTTTTTTTTTGAGGAGATGGAATGTCTCTCTGTTGCCTAGGCTGGAGTGCAGTGGCACAATATCGGCTCACTGTGACCTCCGCCTCCCTGGTTCAAGAGATTCTCCTGCCTTAGCCTCTTGAGTAGCTGGGATTACAGGCGTGCACTGTCATGCCAAGCTAATTTTTGTATTTTCAGTAGAGACAGGGTTTCACCATGTTGGTCAGGCTAGACTTGAACTCCTGACCTCATGAACCTCCTGCCTCAGCCTCCCAAAGTGTTAGAATTACAGGCGTGAGCCTCCGTGCCTGGCCACATTTACTATTCTTTAAGTAGAAGTGGATCATCACAAAGGTCTTCATCTTCATCATCCTCACATTTGAGTAGGCTGAGGAGGAGGAAGAGGAGGGGTTGGTCATCCTGTCTGAAGGATGGCAGAGAAGGAAGAAAATCTGTAAGAGGACCCTCACAGTTCAAACGTGTGTTATTCAAGGGCCAACCGTATATCATACCATAGCACTGTACCCCATAAATATATGCCATTATTCCTGTGGCGGACACTGAGAGGGCTCTGTGTGGACGCTGGCCCTGCTTCCTTGACAGGGAGCTTCATCTGACAGCAGATCCTTGCTTCCACCCCCTCCTTTCTGCATGTTCCCATTCCTGCACGTGAACCGCTGACATGTACAATGCATTCATAAACACCGGGCCAGCAACCAAACTGCTGGCATGGGATATGACAACACCTTTAGAGAATAACTCTAATACTAAGAAAACTCGCTGAGAGCTCATTTTCTAACCTCTCATGAGTACTCAGAGCCGAAGAAACTGCTGTCTAGAGCAACCGACTTTTATCCGGATACTGGGCTGCTTATAGCAGCCATACGAAGAAGGAAGCACAGAGAATGACAGAAAGGAAGAAGTGAGATTGAGAGCCGAGAGACACATCTGCAGGCAGAGGCCAATAAACACAACACGGCAACACTCCTGTAGTATCCGGAACACATTTCAGGATTAATAACGAAAGCAGAATCTGCCACATTTTCCCACTGATTCGTCAGCCCCTTGAAGATCGCCTTCGGCTTGCACTGACACGAAGTACAATTTATGAGGAGGAGAAGATTGTCATACTGAGCAGGCGGTGCTTAACCCAAGTTTAATAACAAGGCGCAAAAGACCGCGACGTCCTAAAGAAATCTGTTCCTGACATTGCTACGAGGATTAAAATAGCTGTTAATTTTGACGGGTGTAATTTTCCCAAGTTCCTGCCTGCTACCTCCTTTCAAGTCACTGGCTTCTTGGTTTAAAATATTGTGCTAGATTCTATACATCCTATCGGACAACTAGTTTTTTTTTTAATTTTACGTACGCAAGTTACCATCCCTTCTTTCTCTTAACAGTTGGATGGCCTTCTGAAGTCATCTCTTTTCCATTAGTATTTTCTCTGTTCCTTTTTATTTTGGTCAGCATCTACACATTTTGAAATATACAAATATACAGGTAAAATAGCCAAAATAAACAATTAAAAGAAGGCAGAACCTGAGCCTGATATTTCAGCTTGTTGCTTTTCTTTCTCTTTTTTCAATTACATATCTTCTTTTCTCTTCTCTTTGCATTTTTTTCAAGAAATAAAATTAAATGCACTATAGCTCCTCAGGAATGAGTAAATTCAAGAAAATAGTTGAGTAACAATCTTTAGAAACAAAAATTTGTCTGAATTTCAGTTTTCATTTTCCCCAAACTAAATTGGTCAAATACAGGGGAAAAAAAGTGATATGAAGCAGTTTAACTTTTAATTTCAGTTCAGACAACATGTTGGCTAATTTGTATCGATTTTATCTGCCAACCTAGATGCAATCACACTTTTAAAAGCAGAGTCCTGCAATTGGCCTTTCTGTAAAATGTCACCAATGCATTAAATACTTCGAAAACAGTCTTTGTAAATCAATCTGTACTTATTAGATTTATTTAAATGATAGCATTAGAATTCCATGCTGAGACTTAATTTGGTTTTAAAATAACTCCCTACATGCAGAACACTTCCTAGGGTGGGAGAGGCTAGTTCCCAATTATTTTCATGCCGTCAGTATTAAATGTGTTTAATGACTCACTTGCCTACAAGCTCTGGGTTGTCTGAGGACCTCTCTGTTCAGTGGGATGCACACATTTTACTTAAGGCTATTTCATAGGAAAAAAAAAAAAAAGGAAAGAGTGCAGAACCATAGGATTTTCAAATGAAATGAAAAGTAAAAGGTCTTACCTTGTTCGTGTCAAAGGTGTTATAAACTTGATCAATATGCTTATTGGCCTTCTGATTCAGACCTTGAAGACCCAAAAGCGTCTTAAATTCATGTAGTGTTTGCAGGCCAGATGGATACTCTGTCATAAATGTTCTGTACCACACATGGGTCTCCTGGGTAGGAACTGCTATCTGATCACCAGCTATAGATTGTCTATTCCCCATCTTGACTCACAGTCTACAGCTTTTGCTCAGGTTGTTTTCATGTAAAGTTTCCTCTGGATTTAGTCCCTCACTCTTCACTAAAACTGAAGGCTAACATATGCTCTCAGAAAGCTACTCTAAACCTATTACAGCGGCAAGCTAAATAAGAACAGAAAGCCAGTGAGATTAACTCATCTGCACAGTTTTAAAACCAAGGTCAGTTGGCACTAACTAACGGTATTGTTCTTACCAACATGCAGAGACATAGCTTTTGTGTGAAGGGAAGAGACAATATTTTAGAGAGGGTAACCCTTCTTATATTGTTAGCCATAAATTTTGCCTACATTATTGAGGGGTACAGTGGATCTAATGGCAGGAACTTAGAGTTGCAATCAGGAAGCCTGGATTCTCTGCTTTGTTCTACCGCTTATTAGCTACGCTGATTAATTTAAATCTAATTCTGTTTTCAAGTCTGTTTCCCCAACTGTAAAATAATAAAAGGTATTATGAAGATAAATTTAGATAACATTTTTAAATGAAAAAATTACACATTCTGAGTATTGTTAAAAATAAGTTTATGCGTAAGAGAGAAAAATCAAATGATTGGTAGTAAGAAAAACTGTAATGTAGTAGTCGGTAGAGTATCGAGTATCATCTGAAGATAAAGGAACATATTGGGCTGTGTTTCTAGCATTCTTCTTCCTTTTTCTCCCCACCCTCTGTTCTTTTTTTTTTTTTTTTTTTTTTTTTTTGGTCTCTCAAGTATCTGCACATGCCCTGGGCCTGCCGGCTTTATCTCACTCCAGTTTTCTAATCTGGCTAATCTTGTCCTAACCAAGCTCCATTTGCCAATGAACTTAAGAAGAGGGTCAGTGTACCTAGGAACTGTAGCCAAGGTCCAGTAGTGGAAATGAATGCTTTGCGCAGTCCTCAACCCATTGTGCTACCAACCATACTTAGAACCAGAAAATCTCAGGCAGAAATAATATAATTCTGTTACTCCTAAATTATAGTTCTCCTTTTCTAAGCCCAGTTTTTACTTCTGTTTCCATTTTGGCCCAGCTCATATGTCTGGCCTCTGTCTTTGTCCCTGTTCTTAAATCTTGACTGATGACCTGTTTATTAACAAATCCTTGATTCCTAAGAAGGAGCCTTTGGGGCCTAAATGAATGCCTTTACAGGAAGTGGTGGTGGTTATGGTGAATATGGTTAATTTTGTTTCAAACATATTAGTATGGACTCTCAATGGGACAATTTGATGTCATAATTAGATTTAAATAATAGGGCCAGGCATGGTGGCTCATGCTTGTAATCCCAGCACTTTGGAGGCCGAGGGAGGTGGATCACTTGAAGTCAGGAGTTCAAGACCAGCTTGGGCAAACTGGTGAAATTCCATTTCTACTAAAAATAAAAAAATTAGCTGGGTGTGGTGGTGCACATCTGTAATCCCAGCAACTCAGAAGACTGAGACAGGAGAATCGTTTGAACCTTGGAGGTGGAGGTTGCAAGTGAGCTGAGATTGTGCCACTGCATTCCAGCCTGGGCGACAGAGTGAGACTCTATCTAAAAAAAAGGTGAAAATAAGGTCATAGAAATGTGAAACTTACCCATTTGAAAGAATTACCTGAAACCATTAGAGTGAAATATATTCTTTTTTGGAGAGTAAAAAGGACAAATGGGAGACAAGGGGAGACAGTGAGGACTCAGCCTCAGGATTATTCAGCTAGGAATATGAGAAATATCCTGTTAGAATTTTCAAAAAGCATTCTTTGGGGAAGTCTCCTTCAAGACTCTTTCTAACTTCTTATTCTCATTAACATTTATTAATCACCAGTTTTTATATTAAAGAATGAATGGATACTGATGATGGCAGAAAAAGGTAGTAACAGTTTTCAAGGAGGCAAAAAAAAATCCTTTGTGGAGGGAAAACTTTGGATGGATCAAGAATATAAGGACCCGAGATCCAGAAACTGTCTCTTAATATAAATTAGACTTTAAAGAAAATCTGCGTGATGATCTTTTGCTGATATAGAAAAAAACTTTAAAATTATTTACAAAATGAGAATTCTTATATTGAATACAATATTGAAGTCCCAAAATCAAGAGAGTTACCGTATAAAACATTAGCCAGTCATAAGATAATGGGGAAAAGCCTTCATTTATGATAGGCTAAAGAATTAATCTAACTGCAATAAATTCAACTAGGAATGTTCAAGATGAATTTGAAGAAAACTTTACAATGGTACTATAGAGTTCCAGTAAAGACTTAGGAATGTACAAAGGCATATCATCTTGGTCTTGGGTAGAAAGACTTAATATTAAAAAACATGTCAGTTCTCGCTATGTTAATCTATTATCACCACAAGCCCCCACCTAAAAAAAATAAATAGAATTTGAGGGGTAGTGGTGGCTACAAAATGCAACTGTGCGAATCAAGCATAAAAAAGTACACACCAATGAACAGTAAATGTTTTATTGTTTTTGTCTAAAGTTTCAGACATTCCTAAACAAAAAAAACACTTATCAAGTGTAAAAGCATGTTTATGTATCTGTAAATGTAAAACAATTTTCACATGTGTAATACGTATATATATTATGCTTAGGAGATTTATTCCTTATGACTAATAAAATTGTCATATAAATCATATCTCAAAGTTTTAGGGGGATTTATATTTTCTGCTTTACTGAGGTTGGCTATAGTGGAGAAAGGGCATAACGTCTTTTTCAACATCTTCAAGAGGAGGTGATTCTGTAGTTCTTTGCATATTGATTTTGAAAACATCTGCTTTTAAATTTTTTAAGGAATAACAAAATTACAATAACAATCTTTTTTTTTTTTTTTTTTTGAGAAGGAGTTTCGCTCTTGTTACCCAGGCTGGAGTGCAATGGCGCGATCTCGGCTCACCGCAACCTCCGCCTCCTGGGTTCAGGCAATTCTCCTGCCTCAGCCTCCCGAGTAGCTGGGATTACAAGCATGCGCCACCATGCCCAGCTAATTTTTTGTATTTTTAGTAGAGACGGAGTTTCACCATGTTGACCAGGATGGTCTCGGTCTCTTGACCTCGTGATCCACCCGCCTCGGCCTCCCAAAGTTCTGGGCTTACAGGCTTGAGCCACAGCGCCCGGCCAATAACAATCTTTTTAAGAAATAACAAAATTTAACCTTGAGTGACATTTTCATTTAGTAGCTCACATGAAAATTAGAGAACTCTAGAAATGATTAATATTTCTGAAAGAAAAGGAAGATTTAGATAACAGGATTAGAGACTATAATAAAACAGGATTAGAGAAATTGTAAATTGGTCTCCATTTCTACAGTATACAATTTTCTCATTTAAAAAAGACAATTATTTCTTAATTCTTATTGTTAAACAGAACAATTACAGTAACAACAACAGAAAGGAAATTTTTTTAAAGAATCTTCCCATTTTCTTACTAGCATTTTTAAAAAAGGGAACAGCTTCTCTGACTCTCAGTTTTCAGGAGTCTTTTCATTTTTTTTCTAACAAGGGCCTATGTCTTGTATCTATGGTCACTTTATTTTAATTGTTCTGGAAGAGGCGATTATCTTCTTTAAGCAAAGCTTCTAAATAGGTGTCAATCTGCTCCTGGTCACCTTCTGGACCACCCTGGAAAAGAGAAGCAACAGTCACACCAGCGAAAGAAGCTGCAGAGCTTCCTCCTGTCATCTGGGCAGCCTCCGAACCATCTCCGCTATGACTCATGCTGCAACAAAAGCCACCATATATTTGAATCATGCTTTTAACCTTTCAAAATGTTTTCTCATTTAATGTCATTTTATGCTGATGAGTGGTTAGAAACTTGGTTCACTTTTTTATTCTTTAGTGGAAGCTAGTACAATGATTTTTCCTCTTTCTAAAAACCTACTTGCTGTACTCCGAAAGACCCCTCGGTCTAATGTCACCCTTCTCTGCTACAGGTTGTCATCTCCTGTTTTTACAATGTATAAATCTTTAGCCTTGTAGGCAAAAACAGACAAGCAGGCAAATTCTGTCTTCTCTGCTTCTTCCATTCCCACCGCAGCATCTTTTCCCTCGGCTCTTGGCTTACTACCCTGGTCTGTTCCCTTCTCTTTATCCTCCCCTTCTCTCTTTTACTCAGCTCCCTACTGAGGCAACTTCATGGTCTCCTTGCTCCATGGAACAGTTAGACATAGGAGGAGGTCTCTAAAAAGTTCATGGAAAATGCATATTATGAAAAAACTATGTGGGCATGGATTTCAAAATTTTTTGAACAAAAATAATTTGTTATGACATATTTGACCAGGATCTAGTTTGATGCACTAAAAAAATAAGGTAACAGTTTGAAAGGAGCCCCTATCAGAGTAACATGAATTCTGCTGAAATTAAAGCAAGAACAGACATAACATTTATGGTGAAGCTTGAGTGGAAGAATGTTAAAATCATACACACTTCATGAAAAGTTTATGGGGACAATGCCCCCAACAGAGCCTATAACAGAGAAGAACGAGATTACACTGAGGGGCCTATAGGACTATGGCAAATAATTTTCTAAAAAGAGAGAAATCAGCAGTTTACAAATGGATAACTTGTTTCAGATCGGAAGAGATGATGTTGAAGATGAGGCTGGCAGTGTCAGACTGCCCACATCACCTTGCAAGGACAAAGTTAACCTTGTTCATGCTCTAACTGGAGAGGATGGATCATTAATAGCAGAAACAAGTACCAACACCACAAAGATCTCACGTGGTTCAGCTATCACAAATCTGACTGAAAAATTAAATTTGAGCAAATGTTCCACTCAATGGGTGCCAAAACCTTGGCAACTAGATCAGCTGCAGACAAAAGCCAAGCTTTCAATGGAAATTTTAGACAAGTGGGATCATGATCCTGAAGCATTTCTTCAAAAAAGTGCAGCAGGAGATGAAACATGGCTTTGTAAGTGTGACCCTGAAAACAAAGTCGTGGCCACCGAGACGTGGAAGCGGCCCCGTCAGAGCAGCGGCGGATCGGTCAAGGGCAAAGGTCATCACGAGGGTTTCATACTCAGGGTATTTTGCTTGCTGACTTTCTTGAGGGCCAAAGAACAATAACATCAGCTTATTATAATGGTGTTTTAAGAAAGTTAGCCTAAGTTTTCATAGAAAAACACCTGGGAAAACTTCATCGGAAAGTCCTCTTCCACCAGGACATATGTTCCTGCTTATTCCTCTCACCAAAGAAGGGCAATTTTGTGAGATTTTTGATGGGAAATCATTAGGCGTACACTTGATAGTCCTGATCTGACTCCTGACTTCTTCTTAAAAATCTTTAAAAAAAAATCTGTAAAGGGCATCCAGTTTTCCTTAATAATGTAAAAAAGACTGCATTGACATGGCTTAATTCCCAAGACAATCTAAAAGGCTGGTGTCATTGTTTACATAAGTATCTTGACCTTGATGGAGATTATGTTGAGAAATAAAGTTTACATTTTTACTTTTAACTTTCAATCTCATTTTCCACAAACTTTTTGAGGTCCCCTTGAATGGTTCCCTCTTTGTTGACTGATCTAAATCTCATTCCTTGGGCCCAACTATGGGATCAACTAACTCTCCAACTGAGCTGCTAAGAGGATTTTTAGGAAGGACCTTTCAGAAACAATCCCAGCACTAAGCATCTGGCACCATTATCCTCGCCTCTGCATCTCTTCTCTGGTTCCGTAAAATGTGCTTCAGCTTTACTCCCTCTACCCAAGATTTGCTCTCACGAGGCTGAATTGTAGTGAGTTCCAGCTTTGTGACTGGGACACTGTTCTTGCAGATGGATTACAATGATGATACTTAACCTTGACTTCCAAATATTCGCTGACCCTGAAGAATGCCCTGTAACATAAGCACTTCTCATCCTGTTAGACATAATCTGATCTTTTGGCGATTATCCTCTGCCTGGTGGACTAAACTTCTCCTATAGCTACACTATTTCCATGCTCCATAGAAATTTCAGGTGAGGAGATAAGAGTAATACATTTGGGTAGGAGGCTTCTGAGTACCTCTTCACTGAGACTAGGCAAAAAGAGTTTCATACTCTGCTGACTGAAGCCCTTCACCTGTCTACCAAACTTTGTGAATACAGCAAATTAAACTGGTATAGTTACTCTAAGAACCTGGAGGTTTGAAAAGAAGTAGTAAATTATTCTTTCAGTTTTTCTTAGCCAAACATGGATTTGCTATTATGAAAGCCAATTATTTTATAAACTTGGTTAATAGGAAGTAATATTCTACTTCTATTGATACAGATTTTCTTTGGTCTTTATCTAGTTTTCTTGTTAGTGAAACAATAATTGTCAGTGAAACACTAGCATGTGCCAGGCTCCATACCAGACCTTTTGCACATGAAAACATCTGGCATCCTTCTCGGCCACAGGAACCAAAAGAAGCTCCACAGAGATTCCACTCTCATAGCAACAAATAATCTAGACAAATAGGCTGTAGGAAGTAGAATGGTTGATAGAAGCACAAATACAATTACCTTTATACAAAAATGTAAAATTTTAATAACATTTTAACTGTTGCTTAGACCATCAAAGGGGAGAGGGACTTCTCTTTTTGCAATATACTTAAATTAAGCAAAAAAAAAAAAAAAATGCTTTTACGCATTTTGTTTTGTACTTAATATAAGATAAATTTCAGATAAATTGAAATATTCATTTTTTTGAACTGGGAATGGACTCCCACATTTAAACGTTCACAACCAGGACTGAAACCCAGGCAGTCTGGCGTCAAGGTCCATGTTCTTCACATATTATACAGATGTAAGTCTGGCGAGCTTCCATCTCTCCCCAACCCTTTCAAAGGCAAGGCAATCCTCTAGCCAATCCTCCATCAGGGTCTCAGTTCCTGTCCCCTCAGGTTGCATGGCCCAGGAAGGCTCTGCCTCCTGTTTCAGCACTCAGGGTCTATATTTGAGGACAAAATGCCATGTGCTCCCTAGGCTCACTGTTCTGGCCTGGATTTCTCAATTTATTTCTAGACACCACGGGAGGACTTTCATCTGACTACATATATCTTCAGTTTTCTGTACTTTGTGCAGCATTTCCATGTGCTATTGAAGATGGGCTCTTCCTCATTAGTTCAATCTATTACAGAGCTCAATTCCTCATACATTAAAACACACAATCAAAACTGACAGTAATCCATACTTACATGGTGTTTCCTGACTTCTCCCAGCCTGTCCTCTAAGAGGATTTATTTCCAATTATGCATTAAAATAAAGGTAAAGTAAAATATTTCATTGTCAGAAAAAACTAAAGAAAATTATCTACTTAGTGTTCCTATTAAACAGACACGAAGGGTGATCATGCTTCTAACACCACCTAAGATTCGGAAGTGTCTAAAATACGAGAGAACAGAGTTTCTAAATGTTCTAATATATGCCTTCAGTTATTTATGATTTCAAAATCCGTATAGGGAGAGTAAGGGCTGGCTGAAGTGACCTGTCCAGGTCAGTCAGTGAATGACAATGTTAGGAGAAGTTAGCTGAGTTCTCGTTCCACAGAGTCTATTCCTGCTGCTCATATGCAGTTTTATCACTCACCAGTTGAAGTTTCTCCAACAATAGTGCCAGTTTTATACGAAGATTCTTCAGCTCATCCTCAGAGATTATTCTTTTTCTTTCACATTGGGCCAGAGAGATTTCATTGTGTATTCCTCTCATATTTGAATCATGGATAACGGATTGTATTTTACTCTTTAGTTTTTTTTCATATTGGGCCATGCAAGTATTCTGTATCTGGGAATGTTTTAAAAACAGTTTCAGCATGTTTTAAAAATATTACTTTCTCCCTAATATTACAAGGCAATTTCATATTCCAACTCTGCCTACATTTACCAAGTGTCAACTTCGTAAGTACTACAGGTGGTCTAAATTTAGGAAGTGTTGATACCCTTAAGGAACTTACATACACTCTGATGGAAGATAAAGAGAGAAGAGAAAAATCTATAATATTCCAGTAATTGTAATTCTAAGGAGGAAAGCAACACATCATAGTGGGCTTGGAGACCTTTGCTCTGGAATGAAGAAGAACCTCATAAAAGCTGAATCTGTTTTTCCAATAGTGACCACCACATTGTTGAAGGCAGAATGTGAGCATGTGCCTGTGACTCTCCCCACAGCACCAGTAATTCACAGGCAATGACACAATCACCCACCACTTGGGGCTGTCTTGGCAGATGATGTAGGGTTACTTGTTATGCAAGGCTGTAGCATCTAGAAAGCACACAAACTACAGGAAGAGGAATTCCTGTTCTCACTCTCTTCAGGTTCCTTATTGTGATACAAAAAGTACAGATAGTTATGCATATGACCCTCACTAACTGAAGAATCTTGGTTGTTTTCCAAAATTTCATGCTTTGTCTGAAACACTCATGAAGTAGAAAGAGGTAATGGAGTGGGCAAATGCTTCAGTTTCAGAATGACATTAATTGCTTGTATAAACATTTCAAGAAAGCCAAGTGATATTCTGAGAAAAGAGATACAGGGCGTATCCCACTTTGATAAGCACTTGAATGTTTATGTAATAAGGAGATTTCTGGGTTCTAATACGATTGGTTGCCAAGAAAGTTGTAAGGTAGCCTCATTTGTCTTCTGGGCCTGCCCTTCCTTCTTCAGACCCCCCACTTCACTGACTATGTGCAGACCCCCCACTACACTAGGTGCTTCAGACCCCCCACTACACTGACTATGTGCAGACCCCCCACTACACTATGTGCTTCAGACCCTTCACTACACTATGTGCTTCAGACCCCCCACTACACTGATTATGTGCTTCAGACCCCCCACTACACTATGTGCAGACCCCCCACTACACTAAGTGCAGACCCCCACTACACTATGTGCTTCAGACCCCCCCACTACACTATGTGCTTCAGACCCCCCACTACACTGACTATGTGCTTCAGACCCCCCACTACACTACCTGCAGACCCCCCACTACACTGACTATGTGCAGACCCCCCACTACACTATGTGCTTCAGACCCCCCCACTACACTGACTTGTGCTTCAGACCCCCCACTACACTACGTGCAGACCCCCCCACTACACTGACTATGTGCAGACCCCCCACTACACTGACTATGTGCAGACCCCCCACTACACTGACTATGTGCTTCAGACCCCCCACTACACTGACTATGTGCAGACCCTTCTCCGACGTCCACGTCATCTCCTTTAGCATTCACTGACCTCACGAGTTTCCCTTTTTTCTACAAAACCCTTTAAACAAGCACACAAAAATCGCTACATTCAGGAAATTCTGTTTAATAAATATTCACTAGTTCTTAATTTGAAAGCACTGCATTTAATTACAGGTGATAAGGAAATATACAAGGTACAGTCTTTCCCTCAAGAACTCCCTAGTCTATAGCATGAGATAATACAAGTGCGAAAATATTATGTCTTATGGTACATAAGGACCCTATGCCCAAGTAAGGCACAAAATAGCAGGAATTCAGAAGAGCAGATATGCAGCACTCACAGCAAGGGAATTTCAAACACATGAGTAAATCCTGCCTTGAAATCCAAGCTACATTTAAAGATCCTGGAAGGGAATCCACTTTTGAACATCCTTAAGTTGACCTACAAGTTGATGACTTACATCTAAGGCAACCACCACCTCTACCAGGAAGTTTCATAGATGCTTCCAGGAGAGGCTGCATGGCAAACCCAGGGAGAGACATCTCCTATGGCCTGAAGGTGGAGTGGGGGAAATAATTCAACTCAGCTGGAATAAGGAGGACAATACAGTTCACATGTCACTAGCCACTTACTTACAGTTTTCAGAACTCTAGAATTTTATAGCTTTTGCTCTTCTGAATAATAGTCAGAAAATACTTTTTCATAAAAATAAAAGCAACAATAAAATAAACCAAAACAAATCAAAGATAAATATCAAAAATGGCAAACATGATTGAAACATCATGTGAAAAAACAATAGTATTGCTCATCAGCCATAAAAAGGAACCTGCTATTGACACACTTAAGTAGACCTGAAGTGAGGCTGAATTAATAAAGCAATTGTCAAACGACACATTCAAATGATTCCATTTCTACAGCATTCCTGAAAAGACAAACATAGAGACGGAGAACAGATTAGTGGGTGCCACGAGGGAGAGGTGATTGTGGAAGGGCTGGGTGGATGGGACTGTAAAAAGGTATCATAGGGAGACACAGTAATGAGAATTCTGCATCCTGATTTCAGTAGTGGTTATACAAACCTCCATGCATGATAAAATGACGTAGAATTATACACATACATTTTACCAAATTCAATTTCCTGGTTTTGATATTGTACCATAATTATGCATAATTCTGCACTGGAGGAAACTGGGTGATAAGTACACAGGACCTCTCTGCACTGTTTTTTGAAACTTCCTATGAATCTATAATTATTTTGAAATTAAAAGTAAAAGAAAAAAGCAAAAACAAAAAGCCTTGACACTATTAATACAAGATGAGACCAAGAATGTTTATATAATACGTTACATTCAAAGTCATATTCAGTTTCCAAAAGTTTCCCCTTTAGTAACCTGTAAACTATGTTTTGGCAAATACTACAGGCCAGCATTTTGGTTTATTCTCCTGCCTTTCTCTCCAGGAGGTTCTGCTAACCTCCCCAGGAAGTTTCAATGAAAGTTAACAATTCTGACAACTTTTCAAGCTCAGTGTAAAAGGACAACTAGTTGTATTAATTTTTTTTGTGTGTCTTAACATTTTAATCAAGGTGACAAAAGAATTGTAGCAAGATGAGAGGCTTAGTTCTGCTGGTTAAACTCACTCTTGTAGAGCTATTTGCAGATCAAAAACCAAATTCTTTCCAAACCACATTAACTCAGAATGGAATCAGGATTTGAAAGAAAGGATATTTAACTGAGATTTTAATTTTCTGCCTTGAATTAAAAAAGTAGGAGCTCTAGCAGTTTTGCAGCTCCAAAATCCTAATGAGTTTGTGCCAAGTAAGGAAGACCTACAAGATGTACAGATTTTGTACCATACAAACAGGAATATTCATTTAACTGTTTATGCTGGCAGGCACTAAAGCAGAAACAATAAGCTTTGATTCAACACGTAACTATTAAGATCCAGATGCATGCAAAGGCACTGGTTGAATGCTGCTAGAATACAGAGTTGGTGACGGGATTATTAACTTCAAGGATTCTATATTCTAACTGAGGAGAACACGAAATATAATCAACTATTATAAGGCAGAAATGTTAATGCTAGAACAGGGTTTTAACGTTCTCCCAGAAAACAGAGAGATCAAGATTAATTCCACAGGAGAAACTAAGACAGTCGTCACAGAGGAGAGAATACCGACAGGGCTCAATGAGGAAGGATTTCAAGAGGCCCACCGTGGATTGGGAAAGTGGACAGGAGAATCTTGGGGAGTGTCAGGAGAGGAAAGGCTCAGAGGCAGGCCAGTGTAAGTAAGCTCAAACAACTCTGGGGCACCCATTTTAGATGGAACAGCCTGTGAGGAAAGAATGAAAGGTGATGGTTTGAGTCAGGTGGTACAGGACCACCAATGCCATCATGTGTCATCTACTTGTAGAGTAGTGTTTGTGAAAACCACCGTCGTGACCAAAGAAGCCTGTGTTACATAAGGTTCTCCTGTACTTTGATGTGGCTCTCTTTATTAAAGGTACACACCTGAAAGCAAGTTGTTCTGTGTTTTGCCTATAAGGTCTCATTTCAACAGGAACTGCTAGTCTCCTGGCTGTTTATTTTGCTTTTTTTGAATCGGACATGCCCGGCATATTAAGGGGATACTGTTCATCATCTATGCTAACACTGTTCACTCTAAATAAACACTTATCTTATGTTTGGTGTCGACATTGGAAAAAAATTAGAAACAGATATAAAAGGGTATATATAGGCTTGGATAAACAGCTGTATGACAGTATAATTCTTAGCAAATTTCTAAGTTTTACAGGGTATTCAAATCATAGTCCCCTAACCAGTAAGTAAAGAGCTACAGGAAGATCCAAGAGCCTTACTAATAAGCTTCTCAAGCTGACTGACACAGACTTTCAGTTGGGACAATCAATTCCTGGTAGGCCAATGAGCCAACCCATCTACCACATACACCCCACATAAATATGTCACTGTCAGCATCTCCACCATATATGTTTCATGACGTAACGTCAGGGCTCTAGTAAGTTAAAAATAATTCTTCTATGCCAACAGGCTGAGAAGCTGTAATATACTTATAGCAGGTAATACACGTGAACTCTATCACAAAGATAAGTATTAAAGTCTGGAGATGAGAATAAGATGAAGTATCCAGGTGCGGTGGCACCAGCCTGCAATCCTAGTCACCGGGAGGCTAACGCAGGAGGACTGCTTGAACCCATGAGTTCAAGACCAGCTTGGGCAATGTAGCAATATCCTAACTCAAGACAAAAACAAAGCAACACAAAAATAGAGGGGACGGGCAAAAAAAAAAAGGTGGGAAAATGTATAATGAAAAGAGCTTTGGAGTGGAGAAAACTAGGGTTCCAATTCTGAATCTGATCATGACACTGGGATATTATCTTTCTGAATCTCTATTTCCTCATTATTAAAAGAGATAGTGGCACTTACCTACCAGAGGTGTGAGAATAAATGAGTTAATGTTTAGCAAAGACCTAGTTCAGTGCCTAGCTCTAGTGGCTCTTGATCAATCAATCACAGTTTTACATTATTGATGAACATAATATTGGTGGTAGAACAATATCAAAGCATACTGAAAGTAAACTTTGTCTTTTATTCTTGGTAGGAAATGTTGACAAGCAACTCTTCAAACTGAAAATGCTCAGTTACTGCTTTTTCAGCAGAATGTTATTCAGAAAATAAATTAACTATTCAGTTGAACAGTGATAGGAGACCAGTAACTACACCCACTTTCACTTCACTTGTTTATCACCACCCAGTAGACAGAAACGTCAAAGCCAAATCTATCAACAAGGGTGGTTAAATTTAGGCACAGTGTGAACTTCAAACACTGTGTGATAAAGTCTTCATAAGAAGGAATATGGGTTACATTCAACTTTTGAAGTCTGCCTAGTCATATGTCTTTTGGGAATTTACTTCCCCGTTCTTTTTCATTTTTCAAATGTCTTCCATTACAATTGCTTCCTCAGTTTCAGCTAAAATCAAGTGCAAATGTACCTCATTACCTATAAACCCAGTGAGGCAGTGTCTCTGCTTGGAGTCATTCTTTGCACAACTCCAGGAAGTGCCAGTCACCTCTTAGTCTTTATAAATTTTCATGTTCTGAGAGCTTTCCAGAGATGGCCGTGAACAGAAGCTCAGGGAAGAAGACGCTAATGTGCGTACTAATGATGGAGCTGGTGGCTAGGTGACAAGGCACAGGTAAAGTGTCAACAAAGATTCAACATTTCAGTGTTGATCCTGGTTCTAGGCCACACCAGGCTGTGCAATTAGTCTGGGAACCTTTACGGCCATGCTGGCTCCAACATTCAGCCTCTAAATCAGCTTGGCCAAGTTCACATGTTGGAGTCCCAGGGGATTTTTTTAGTGTAAAATTAGGGATTTTATGGCATTTGATTATTTGAGATATTTCTGAAGCAGAACTGAAGGGCAATCTGGACTCTTTCTCCTACAGGAAATTCTTAAGGACTAGATATGCAGCATTATTTGATAACTGTTAAAAAAAAAATCCACCCAGAGAAAGAGAAAGTTGTAAACAAATACACAAAAATATTATCAGTAATCTTGGAATGGCTGGAGACTATGGATGAATTTCTAAAGGAGATATGAAATTGAAATAATTTAAAACTTCAACCTAAAATTTCTGCTTCAGTCTATTTTGAGGATGCAGTGAGTATATTTCTTAAAAGTCCACAATGTCCTGTTTCCTATTCAAGTTACAGTCCTACTCCAAGTGTTTCATAGCTTTATGTTATAGAAATGCTTGTATTTTTAAATTCAAAAAGATGTTGCTTTATGACATCTGATATGCTATACATTAAGTCTCGATGAGTGAATGCAAATTTGATTTGCTTTCAAACCTAACATTTGGAAATACACATTATTTACCCTTCGGAACACAGGATCATTTAGAATAGAAATGGCGACACTGGAAGGAAGCTTACCTGGTTGAAACACATTTTCAGCTTTTCGTTGATCTGCTCTGGGCGCTGCTCCAGCTGTTTTCATAAGTGACAACAGAACAGGATATTAGCTTTTAGAGAATGTGCTGTCTAAAGTAGGTACATCATGCACGCATTGAGTGTAAAAAGCATCAAGGCCTAGAACTGGCCAACATTGGTACTACGGGCCTTTTAAGTCTGGCTCTAATTAAATTACCTAAATTATACTTCGCTTCCTTCCAAAAAAGGATTAAGTCAGCTTACATAAATAAATGCAGCCTCGTTAAAAAATTGTGCAGATACAAAAATCAAGGTGAAGAAAAATTAAGCGATAAAATAATAAATATTCCAAAGAGATGTCAAGAGGGCAGCTGGAGTCTGGATTTCTCGGAAGGGCATGCCGGAGAGGCAGACAGGTGAGCCCCTGGTGTGGGGTTAGTAACACCATTTAAAGTCAGACATTAGATGAGGTTACCTAGAAACAGCATTTAATAGAGAAAAGAAAGTGGCCCAGGAAGGAGCCTTCAGACATGCCAACATTGAGAAACCACACACAATAGGAGCCGCCACAAAGAAGATGGAAGGGAGGAAAGCAAGACAATGGGCAGTGTGCAGCCAAGGGAGCTACACAAAGAAGGTGCTTCAAGAAGGTGAGAGTGGTCACCTGGGTTGAAGGCCTCTGACAGGTCAGGTAACAGTGACATTGCACTTAGCAGCGGTCACTGGCGGCCCTGACAAGAACAGTCGTAGTTCAACCGTGGAATCAGAAGCCCCATGGGAGAGGATGAGGTGAGAGTAGAAGGTAAAGAGGCAGAAACGATGATTACAGTCTAGAAAATTAGGGATGGTGCCCAGGACCAGACTCATACAGTCCCTCTGCTGGATTAATAATTTGTGCTGAATACCAAGTGTATCCGTCATCTCCACAGGCAAAGCTGAGCATGGAGGTGGAGAAGAGGCCTCCCAGCCTCCCAGCCTCCTGCACTAGGCAGCTCTTCCCCTCCCCTTCTGCTGAGTCAGGCATACGCATGTCACTCAACTTCACAGTCCTGCCGGGCCCTTTGTCAACTCCTGGTTATTACTTAAGCACAGCCCATGGATGTGAGGCTTACTCTTTGCACCCCAAGCAGCTGATCAAAGTTTGCTTTCCAATCACTTCTGGCACTGTTCCTGAGAGGCGATTTTCTCCATCTAGCTCAGTGATGGCTTGGTGATTTCAGTAAGATTAGTGCTTTGGATACCTAATGTGCCTGACCTACCCAATCCTCAGCTCAGCTCCTCATAATAAGCAGCTGAGGAGGTGTATCTAAGGAACAGAAACTCTGTGTTTGATGGGGGAGAGGGAAGTGAGGGACTACATCCTATCTGTCTATAAGATCTTTTCCACCTTATTTAACTCACAGCCACAACGATTTCAAATACAGCTTTAATGACAAATCACGATTTGTAATTAAAGATGAGAAAGATTCACATTTTCATTCACTTAAGCCATTCTAGGTCCTCTTATTGGAAACCCTTTACATTTTTCTTCTCTGAGGATTAAATTCAGGCTATTCTATCATTCCCTCACAGTTCCAAAAAAAACCAGCTCACCTCAGACCTTAATGCAGGTTCTTCCAATTCTGATGGTAGCCGATACTCAGGAAAAAAATACAGGAGCATCTCCCTAGGAATACAAGCACAGCAGGTATGAGAATATACTAGGATAACAGAACTGGATTGGTCTCCTGGGTATTAAACGTCCTGGCAAAGATGAACACTATTTCCCTCCGAACATTCTGTTTTTATCGTTGACATCAAAGTGTTCTTGGGAAAGCAGACGATGGAGGGGAAGGTGGGTGTGGCTATAAAAAGGCAATAGGCAACAGCCCTTTATGCTAAAAACCCTCAATAAACTCGGTATCGATGGAACGTATCTCAAAGTAATAAAAGCTATTTATGACAAACCAACAGCCAATATCATACTGAATGGGAAAAAACTGGAAGCATTCCCTTTGAAATCTGGCACTAGACAAGGATGCCCTCTCTCACCACTCCTATTCAATATAGTACTGGAAGTTCTAGCCACAGCAATCAGGCAAGAAAAAGAAATAAAGGGTATTCAAATAGGAAAGGTGGAAGCCAAATTGTCTCTATTTGCAGACGACATGATAGTATACCTAGAAGACCCCATTGCCTCAGCCCAAAAACTCCTGAAACTGATAAGCAACTTCAGCAAAGTCTCAGGATATAAAATCAATGTGCAAAAATCACAAGCATTCCTCTACACCAATAACAGACTTAAAGAAAGCCAAATCAAGAACGAACTGCCATTCACAATTGCTACAAAAAGAATAAAATACCTTGGAATACAACTCACAAGGAACGTAAGGGACCTCTTCAGGGAAAACTACAAACCACTGCTCAACGAAATCAGAGAGGACACAAACAGATGGAGAAACATTCCATGTTCATGGTTAGGAAGAATTAATATCGTGAAAATGGCTATACTGCCCAAAGTAATTTACAGAATCAACACTATCCCCATCAAGCTACCATTGACTTTCTTCACAGAACTGGAAAAAACCACCATGAACTTCATATGGAACCAAAAGAGAGCCCGCATAGCCAAATCAATTCTAAGCAAAAAGAACACAGCGGGGGGCATCACACTACCGGATTTCAAACTATACTACAAGGCTACAGTAATCAAAACAGCATGGTACTGGTACCAAAACAGAGATATAGACCAATGGAACAAAACAGAGGCACCGGAGGAAACACAACATATCTACAACTATACAATCTTTGATAAACCTGACGAAAACAAGCAATGGGGAAAGAATTCCCTATTTAACAAATGGTGTTGGGAAAACTGGCTAGCCATGTGCAGAAAGCAGAAACTGGACCCCTTCCTGACACCTTACACTAAAATTAACTCCAGATGGATTAAAGACTTAAACATAAGACCTGGCACGATAAAAACCCTAGAAGGAAATCTAGGCAAAACTATCTAGGACATAGGAGTAGGCAAGGACTTCATGAACAAAACACCAAAAGCATTGGCAACAAAAGCCAAAATAGACAAATGGGACCTAATGAAACTCCACAGCTTCTGCATGGCAAAAGAAACAGTCACTAGAGTGAATCGGCAACCAACAGAATGGGTAAAAATGTTTGCAGTTTACCCATCTGACAAAGGGCTGATATCCAGAATTTACAAAGAACTCAAACAGATTTACAGGAAAAAAACAAACAAGCCCATTCAAAAGTGGGCAAATGATACGAACAGACACTTTATGAAAGAAGACATATATGAGGCCAACAATCATATGAAAAAATGCTCATCATCACTGGTCATCAGAGAGATGCAAATCAAAACCACATTGAGATACCATCTCACGCCAGTTAGAATGGCGATCATTAAAAAATCTGGAGACAACAGATGCTGGAGAGGATGTGGAGAAAAAGGAACACTTTTACACTGTTGGTGGGAGTGTAAATGAGTCCAACCATTGTGGAAGACAGTGTGGCGATTCCTCAAGGCCTTAGAAATAGAAATTCCATTTGACCCAGCAATCCCATTACTGGGTATATACCCAAAGGACTATAAATCGTTCTACTATAAGGACACATGTACACGAATGTTCACTGCAGCACTGTTTACAATAGCAAAGACCTGGAATCAACCCAAATGCCCATTGATGATAGACTGGATTGGGAAAATGTGGCACATATACACCATGGAATATTATGCAGCAATCAGAAATGATGAGTTCGTGCCATTTGTAGGGACATGGATGAATCTGGAGAACATCATTCTCAGCAAACTGACACAAGAACAGAAAATGAAACACCGCATATTCTCACTCGTAGGTGGCTGATGAAAAATGAGAACACATGGACACAGAGAGGGGAGTACTAAACACTGGGGTCTATTGGGGGGAAAAGGGGAGGGCCAGTGGGAGGGGGAGGTGGGGAGGGATAGCCTGGGGAGAAATGCCAAATGTGGGTGAAGGGGAGAAAGCAAACAAAACACACTGCCATGTGTGTACCTATGCAACTGTCTTGCATGCTCTGCTCATGTACCCCAAAACCTAAAATGCAATAAAAAATTAAAAATAAAAAAAAAAGGCAATAGGAGGGACCCTTCTGGTGAAGGAACTGGTCTGTATTTTGACTGCATCAATGTCAATATCCTGATTGCGATACTCTTCTACAGTTTTGCAAGAAGCTATGTGAAGGGTACAGGGGATCTCTCAGCATTATTTCTTACAAGTTAACATGAACATACATTTATCTCAAAATAAAAAGGTTACGGGAAGGAAGGGAGGGAGGGCGGGCAGGTGGGTGAGAAGGAAAGAAACCAGCCAACTTCACAATGCCTTGACATCCATAAACAACCAGTCTAGGAAAGTCCTGTACCTACTTGAGTGTTCTCTTCTGCACAGAACTCAGTATAGCAAATTTCCAGGAAAAAACTACGCTGACTACAGACTCACTAACTTTTTTCCTGAGAAAACCAGAGTTTAAGTCTCCAGAGTAACTTTTTCATCAGCAACTCCAGGACTGCCCTTAGAAATCATACATGGACCCTGCTCTTTCTTAAATAGTGGTGGCCATTGTTCTGACAGGTGCTTCATTTTGTCAAAAGGCAGTAGCACCCATCCTTCTACAGTGACAGCTTTTCTAGGATTAATCACCTGGATGACATATATTTCATTCCTGGGAGAATATGAGATCTAGAAATTTATAGCCACCACATCTTAAAAGTGTATATTATTCTAATGCTGATATGTTCCAAGAGTCTCAGGTATATTATCTAAGGGATTTACAAAAATTTTTCCAGTTGTAAAATAATATGGTATAACCAAAGACAAAACGGCTCTTTCTTATACAATTTACATTCTTCATACTTTAGGTATATTATTTGTACTAATATTCATTTATAGTTTCAAGCAGATTCAAATCAGAAAGCTGGAAATTCTTGGCATTGCCATTGCCCAAACATTAAATATGACATACAACACTCCTCAGAGTTATCTGCCTGGCTAGCAAGAAGGTAAGTGGGGTAGAAATGGGATACAAAGGGATAAAAAGGTATATGAGATGAGAAGAAATCATATGGCATAGAAAGAAAAGCTGCAACAGGAGTTCCTGGGAAAGGCGACATGGGTCAACATTATGGCCATTTTGTTGGAGCAGGAGGGGTGAGAGACCTTTTACACAAACTAACCTTGCTTCTCCCCAAATCCAGGCTCCCTTTCCCTACCACAGGCTTGAAACCTTTTCAGAGCATTGGTTCTTTCCATTGTGAATATAAATTCTTTTTCTTTAAATTTAGAGCGAATCAGAAATCCCCTAGGAATATGCTCTTAGACAAATAAATATTAGATGGTAGCATTTACTAGCGAAGGGGAGAAACCAAAAGGGAAGTTTGAAGAGAGAAAAAGTTCTGGATTAGTTTTACTTTCAATCTGTGGTATCTCTATTTCAAAATCCATATCAAATATCTATAGTCTGAATACTATCTTACACATGTATTATTATTTCTAAAAATAGACACATAATAGATACCTTTAAACACCATTTCATGTTTACTGAAATCACAGTACCTTTTGCCATCTTGCCTTTCCTCAACTCATTAATTCTGCAGACATTCGTTAATTCCTACTAAAATATCACCTCTGCTCTTCAGTGCCCCACAGAGCCTGGCATCATGCCCCTATGCTAGGAACCCAATACAATCTTATTGAACTTATTTGGCCTAGTGGGGAAATACAGACAAGAAAGCAAACTATTCTAATACCATGAGATAAATGCTTGAGGGACAACAAGAAAGGTGCACCACGGAGTCTTGAAGAAGGGACTCTAAGTCATATTTCGGTATCTGTAAAGCAACAGGCGGAGTTAGCCAAGTGTAGGGGATGGGGCAGGTGAAGGAGGAATTTTGGGCCACCTGCACCATACACTAGAGCATTTTCTATTTTTCTTGGTAAAATATCTGACCAAATAGTTGGTCAGATTCAAGTATTTTTCTTGGTGTTTTTGTTATTGTTATTTTTGAGACAGAGTCTCACGCTGCTGCTGAGGCTGGAGTGCAGTGGGGCACGATCTCAGCTCACTGCGTCCTCTGTGCTCCCAGGCTCAAGCAACTCTCCCAACTCAGCCACCTGAGTAGCTGGGATTACATGTGCCCACTGCCATGCCCAGCTAATTTTTGTATTTTTTTTCGAGACGGATTTTCACCATGTTTCCCAGGCTGGTCTCAAATTGCTGAGCTTAAGTGATCCACCCACCTTGGCCTCCCAAAGTGCTGGGCTTACAGGTATAAGCCACCACACCCAGCCAACTCAACTATTCTTTATAAAGTACTAGAAATGTGCCAAACACTACTATATAGTTTCTATGCATAATTTCATGTAATCTTTATGGAAACTCTTTGATTGAGGAATTATTCCTATTTTCTCTGGTCATCCAGCTGTTCTTTTTAAACAATAACCTAGTTAATTAGCTTAGTCCTGGCTAAAGAGAAGACCAAGCCTCCTACTGGAGGTTGACCAAAACTATCTTCTCCAACTCAGTAAAAGACTAGTATGAAATGGAAATGACACAGCTCTAATAATGCTTTCTGGCAGACCTCAACTGCCAGTAGATATATTTTCATGGCCTTTTCCTTTAACAACCAGCAGACATGTTGAAAAGTAACATTCTTTTTAAAACTTATTTTTGGAGGCGGGTGGATCACAGGTCAAGAGATCGAGACCATCCTGGTCAACAAGGTGAAACCCTGTCTCTACTAAAAATACAAAAATTAGCTGGGCATGGTGGCGCATGCCTGTAATCCCAGCTACTCGAGAGGCTGAGGCAGGAGAATTGCTTGAACCCAGGAGGCGGAGGTTGCAGTGAGCCGAGATCGCGCCATTGCACTCCAGCCTGGGAAACAACAGCGAAAACTCCGTCTCAAACAAAAACAAAAACAAACTTATTTTTGGTATTTTAAAAATCTAAGATAACAAAACCATGTTTATGTTTTTATAGAGATGAAATAAATGGAGTGCCTTATCAAGTTTACACATACAACAATAAACCAAAACAAGGCATTACAGTTCAACAGTTAAGAGCAAGGAGTGTGGGATCAGATGCCAGGACTCAAATCTAAGTTCTATCACTTAAGCGTTATATAATGCTAGGGAAATTACTTAACCTCTACATGTCTCAGCTTTCTCATCTGCAAAATGAGGATAATAAAAGAATCTACATAGGATTGTTGTAAGATGAGTGAGTTATCATACGCAAAGCCCTTAGGATGGCGCCCAGCAGATAGTAAGTACATAATATGTATTATTGCTAATATTATTGCTATTATTACTGTGATTTGAAATTTAATACTACTCCAAACTTTAGGGTCACCTGATAACATGTAATAGTCAGGAACCCAGTTCCGCTTATTTACCACTAACTTAATCAGTTGCACTCCAATATTAAAAGTATTTTAACATACAGTAATACTATTCACTGCTTTTTACATTAATCCCTTTGAATTGAATTTCAAGTATTATTTAAATATATGCTGACATATGTTAGACATACTGTGGACAAATCAATCTGTTTTCAAAGACGTTCTTTATTTGAGAAGTCAGCAAATGAATACACAGAAAGTAAGAAGTAATATGACAGGAAAAGCCTAACTGAGAATAATTAGGTAATGAGTATGTACACTAAAAACTACATTTTTAATTAATTGTCAGCATTAATTACACAGAGATGGCCAGACACTACTTTGGCATTGTGGAAACAGATAAAGATGATGTCATGTCCAAAGTGACCCAAATGGAAGGAACACCCTTCACACTTAAAAGGTCTCTAAATACTATTCTTTTTATCATGTGACAAGAAAGGTAAATACTATTCTGAGTATTTCTATATAAATTTACATTGTACACAGCTAGCCACAATCTTCATGCCTGGAAAAATTTAAAGTCTAGTAAATTCAAGAAATTACACATGGACCAAATATAAAACAGCAAATAATACTACAAAAACAACAACAACAAACAACAAAATATCTAACAAAGAAAACAAGAAATCTGTTTTTCTGGTGAAATGTGAGAAAACATACTACATGTTGCTGAAGGCAAAAGACTAAACTGGTCTCTCAATAAGCTCATTTTGTTTTAGTTAAAGTCTTGTGTTCTATCCAACTCTTTTCCATGGAATATTTTTAATAAAATAATCACCACACAAAATTTAAGATGGTACAGAACAGAGCTGATACATGAACACATTCAGCTTTCGCAGTGCTCACTTGGTAACAGTATGATGATTCTAAGCAATAGTCTGCCTGTTCACTAGGGAGACAGTTTCCAGGAAATTTTAATTTTCTAGTGATGCCTAACGATAGAAGTGGAAGCATTTTAAAGTCTTAGTACACTCAGTCAGATTATCCCCTTTTTGATCACATGTAACTCACAAAAATTAATAGAAATGTTACACTTAGACAAATAACAAAAATTAGCCAAGAAAAAAATCAGGAAAATAATAAATTTGAAAAAGAAAATTGATCTAACTTAAAAAGAAATTTAAGTAGCTGTGCACCCAAACTCTGCTGTAACACACTCAGACAGGTCTCTCTAGGTCTCCTAGTGTGGAGAGAGGGTATATGCTATATATGGTTAAGAGCATGGGGTCCCAAGTCAGAAAGCCTTGCCTTAAACCCCAGCCGCATCCTTAGTATTTGTGTAATTCTCCATGGGACTTGTAATGTGTCATTTCCTCTAAGCTTCAGTCTCCTCATTCATACAAAAGATTTAAAAATAACACCAATCTCATGAATTTGTGGGAATTATGAATTAATTTATAAAAAGTTAAGTGGGTATCCACCCTGAAATACAATAAAGGCTCAAACCTGATAGCTATTATTATTATTTTTTATGGAAACAGGGTATTGCTATGTCGCCAAGGCTGGTCTCGAACTCCTTGTTTCAAGCAATCCTCCCACCTTGGCATCCCAAAGTGCTAGGATTACAGGCATGAGCCATGGTGCCTGGCGTGATAGCTATTATTATTAAGAAGACCTGGTTCACTGGTAGCATGTCCAAATAATTAGATATATGGTCATAGCCATACATTTTAATGATATTCATACATTAAAATTCAATACATACAGGCACATGCATATATAACTTACTGTATACTACTGTGCTTTAGTGACCAACCAATAGGACTGAATCTTAGGACCAGTAACATATCAGGATTCAAATTTATAGCAACCAACTTCAAAGCTGAGGACTTTAAATACTGCTTCTAGAAAAAGACAGGCAGAGGGAAGGAAACTAGTTAGAGAATCCCAGTCGTTAGGGATTATACTGTAAGCTACAGCAGTGTAATGCTAACATCTCTCTAGATCATTGGACAAGCAGCCTTTTTCAACCTTATAATGCCTGTATCACGCTGAGGTCTGGCCTGCTTTTGTCCTATTTCCAGGCTAGCGTACGATTGCCAACCAGAGAGAATGGAGATTTGGTGGTCAGAACTTGGTGTTCTGGGATGTAGCTGCCTGTGTTCACTGCTCCATCAACCACTTGTCTCTGGATCCCTAGTGTCAGTAGTGAAAACAGGTCCCTCTACAAAGCCCAAGGTGGGTCCATCCACACTGGAATAGGAGGAGTGCTTCCTCCCTCTTGGGGCAGGACTGGTGATAGGCATGAGACAGCGGGGGGCGGGCCTTCATGCCCATGTAATAATCATAGCCCTGCAGCCCTGGATGCTGCTATAGAGACTTTCACCAACCCCATGGTGTCAAGTGGCTATCCTAAGAAAAAACACGATTCTAGGTAGGGCGTGTTGTATGTTTTTCCTGGCCCATAGCCTCTCGCCCCACACAAGACCCTTAAAACCCAATAAAAGTCTGTGGATCCCAACCAAACCAGTGCAGTACCCTAATTGAATGGTGGTACTGGCCCCACCTCCCGCCCTCCCGTATGGCACCTGTTATTCTGGAGCACACTAATGTGTACACACTTCCTTGACTTGATTTTGAGGCCCCACCTATTATTAGTCTCTATTTGAAAGAAAAAACCCTGAATCATGAACTTTTCCCACTCCTTGTCTCCATCCTTTGAGAAATAAAACACAGATATTTAAATTGCTGAAATACCAGACCCACAAATGTTAACATTCTACACAGAACAAGTAAAACTCAATTTCCCTCAATAAATTTAGTATCCAAACTGAAACACACAAAAAAAATCCCAGATTTTTTTAAAAGGCCATATAATGTCATAAGACTCTTTGTCAGGGGAAAAAAGAAAGAAAATTCAGTTAAAATTATTTATTACATTCAAGAGAGGACTAACGTCCAGCACACTGTCAGACTATGTAACAACAGGCAGTTACCAGTTCTATCACAAGGGACATGATATCTAATGTCTATACAACCCATAGTATATCTAAATCAGCGTAGTTAGGAGACAGGTCATAACGTCACTCCATTGAATGTATTCAGTAACATTAAAACTCAGGAGGGAAAACAACAGCCGTTATCACTGCTTAGAAAGTTCGACAAAGCATGTGGAAATACATGAGTAAATATCTTTACCTTAATTTAGACAGCAGTTTTCTCGCTGGTTCCTTGACAGACGTGCTTTGAGAAGACATTGGTGTAGAAGCAACGTTACAACCACCACGCACAGAAACTCTGGCTTTGTGTCCAGAACCCAGATTCACATCTTCCACTGGCACACTGGGCAAGCTGAGGTGTATCATTTCAAAGCAGAAATCATGTTAGGTATTAATAGTTTCAGGAACATTAATATGCAATGAGTGAAATGTTAATATACAACAAATGAGAGCAAGAACATACATGTAAGGCTGAAAATTGCCACTGCTGTAGTTCCATTAAACAAATTCTTAATTAGAAGAATTTATATTTATTCCAGTCACATATTTTTTTGAAGTTTTTAGGTAGTAACAATTACATGGAATTGGTGACAATTTATTTTTAACAGTAGTCACATACTGCTTGTCTCTCATTTGTTGAAAGAAACTTTCAAAATTTGTTAAACTGTCAAATATTTTGTGTAAGCCTCATGGTAGCCATATAGAAAAAATCTATAATGGATACACTTAAAATAAAAAGCATCAAATTAAAACATACTGTAACCAAGTAGCTCCATTTTTCTAAGAAAAGGAGTTGGTATTATTTTTTATGATTTTTTCTTCTCTCTTTTCTCCATTTCCCCATTACCCACTTCGTACATAGTCCTTTAGAAATGAAAATATAACCTTTGACTTGCCCTTCACCAGAAACTCTCTTGAGGCCAAGTTTGTTTAACTATATGCGTAGAAGCTCCAGAGTGGAATTTTCAGCCACCAGGAGATAACAGATGGCTTACAATCCAAAGTCCCATTGTAAGTATGAAACTCTCTCCCATCTAGAGGTTTCAGCCACCTTTACAATCTATTTCTGCCCATGCAATGCTAACTCAACTGCCCAGCAGGTAAGGTCCCACGCTAGCATGTGGGCCCACCCATCTGCTCACCCAGCAGGTAAGGTCCCACGCTAGCATGTGGGCCCACCCATCTGCTCACCCAGCAGGTAAGGTCCCACGCTAGCATGTGGGCCCACCCATCTGCTCACCCAGCAGGTAAGGTCCCACGCTAGCATGTGGGCCCACCCATCTGCTCACCCAGCAGGTAAGGTCCCACGCTAGCATGTGGGCCCACCCATCTGCTCACCCAGCAGGTAAGGTCCCACGCTAGCATGTGGGCCCACCCATCTGCTCACCCAGCAGGTAAGGTCCCACGCTAGCATGTGGGCCCACCCATCTGCTCACCCAGCAGGTAAGGTCCCACGCTAGCATGTGGGCCCACCCATCTGCTCACCCAGCAGGTAAGGTCCCACGCTAGCATGTGGGCCCACCCATCTGCTCACCCAGCAGGTAAGGTCCCACGCTAGCATGTGGGCCCACCCATCTGCTCACCCAGCAGGTAAGGTCCCACGCTAGCATGTGGGCCCACCCATCTGCTCACCCAGCAGGTAAGGTCCCACGCTAGCATGTGGGCCCACCCATCTGCTCACCCAGCAGGTAAGGTCCCACGCTAGCATGTGGGCCCACCCATCTGCTCACCCAGTAGGTAAGGTCCCACGCTAGCATGTGGGCCCACCCATCTGCTCACCCAGTAGGTAAGGTCCCACGCTAGCATGTGGGCCCACCCATCTGCTCACCCAGTAGGTAAGGTCCCACGCTAGCATGTGGGCCCACCCATCTGCTCACCTCCTCCCCTTTGGTGCCATTCATGATAGGCCCCCTTTAAAAGTGTCCACTTTCTGCTCCAAAGGTGAATGGGTACCCTTAAGGCAGGAAGCCCCTTCTTCTTCCCCTAAGCTAGCTTGGAATAAAAGGTCACTTTGTTTACACCAGACCTGGCTCTTGTTAATTAGACTCTGCAAGCAGCGAGCAGGTGACCCTACCATGCGGTTACAATACCACCAGAAAAAATCACTGTGCTACAATTCAAGAGACTTTTAAAGTTTATTTTAGGCTGAGAGAAAAGCACAGAAATAAAACAAAACAAGAACTAAGTCAGTTGAGAGAAATACTTAGTCGTGATCTGGAGGAGGAAGAAGAATGTTCAGAGCTAACGGGGTGGAGTAAGCCAGAAGCAGATGGAAAGAGGAGATGAGCAGGTCAGTGCTAGGATCTCAGGGAATTGTGGGCATGGGGAGGGAACTGGAGTTTCTTCTAAGCAGAGTGGGCACTACCATTGGAAGTTTTCAGGCATGAGAGTGAGGTGATCTGATGCAGGTTTTAAAAACATACATGGCTTCAGCATGAAAAGTAACTCACGGTGAGGATGCATAGCTTGTTAATGAAACTAAAGCTATCAGTACCGTAGGGAAAAGAAAGTACAAGGTTCTGGGAGCAGTACATGGGAGATGAAGCTGGGGAGGGCGGGTAGGGGTCAGATCATGAAGGGTTTTGTTTGTCAAGTTTAAAAAAAAAAAGATACTTTTGGTAATCCTTTCATGCTGACGTCCATAAGTTAAGATCACAGCTCTAGAGAGTTTTGCATGTTTATAAGATGAGGATCTTTTAAAATTGGATAACAATTTATATCAAATGGAATGTGCTTCTACTGTCAACAGCTCTTTGGCATTAATTATACTGTCTAACTTCAGTTGATTTTTTTCAGATTAAAAACATTATATAAAACTAATGCTTAATTGCCTGTTAAAGAATACTTACGCAATGTCTGAATGCTCATTAGTTATAACCTCCTTTATGCTGACGTTTTATTAAAGAAGTCTCTTTTTTAACCATTTTAGGGATGTTAGAGGTTCATTCATGTTGGTGTTGAGGTTGAAAGATAAAAAGTACCACTAGAGCACAGGAGATTCCTCCCTAAATCTGCTTCTTCTCTGTGAAATGGGAATAGGGCCTACCTCATAGAGCTGTGCTGAGGATTAAACAAGATATACAGTGAATGCAGCTCAATGCTCAGTAAACAGTGACTATTATTGTTGTTATGGTCATCTTTGTCCTCATCACGAGTAACGCATTCAGTGCTTCTTCCATTACGACTGTTTTTCTCACATTCACAATGTATTTACGAGTCAACAGTGATTACAAAAAAAAAAAAAAAAACCCACAATCTCATAAACACCTAAAAGTACTACATGAAAGAATATACACACGCATACACACACTCACATACACACAAATGTGTTCTGGTTTTTGGGTGAATCTTAAATCGCAAAACAAATTTCATAAGTAATTCTAAGTCAAAGTATTGGCCAGGAGAAGGCCTGGCAACAGCATTGGGAAAAAAGATTACATCACCTATTTAATCTGCAAGTATTATTGAGTGCCAAGTATGAGTTGGTGTCATTCTGGATATCAGAGACACAGGGATAAGCAAGACAGTCCCTGCTCTCATGGAGTGCACTGGCATCTAGTGAAAAGTAGAGAAAACAAGCAAGCTAGAATTTAAAATGGAAAAAAAAAGTGAGTAAATGAGATACTTCAATAATACATGCTTTGAAAAAAAAGAAGGATGATAAAAGTGTGACTTGTCAGAAATGGGGTGGAAATGTAGATGGGGTTGTCAGAAAAGACCTTTCAAAGCTTAGAATTAGGAAGAAGACAAGAAGGCTTCTGTCCTTAAGGAGCCCATATGCAACGGGAAGACAGAGATTCAGGCAGATAACTTCTCTTGACTGTGATCACTGCTCACCATTGCGTGTAGGAACACAGTCAGAATTTAACGAATAACTACTGAACAAATTACCGTACAATCTCATCATTGCAACAGTGGCTCTGTGAATACCTGAGTTTGCTGAGGAGTGGCAACAAGACCCTAAAGAAGGGAACACTTGAACTGAGACTTAAATGAAAGGGTAATTGGCATTGGCATAAGAGTAACTGAGGGCATTCAAGTAAAGAGTAGTACAGACAAAGGGATGAGAAGCTGTGATACAACAGAACTAGTGGTAATTTAGAGCCTTTGGAAAGCAAAGTCGGGGCTAAAAGTAGAGGCAGGAGAGGAGAGGATGTGTGCAATGTTAGGAGTTTGTAACTTATTAAAAGTGGCGGGGGCTGAAAGCCTTTGGAGTAGAAGAGTGAAGTGATCAGATTTAAGTGCTTGTTGACTCACTACCCTGTCAGCAAGCAGGAAAATAAAAGCCCCTCTCTGTTTTTTCTTGCTCTTAATTCAATGTGCTCCTATGCAAAGAGCACAGGATTTGGATTCAGAGAAACTGGACCTGAATGTCTGGAAAGCAGCTTAGTCAGGTTTGTAATACAGGATAAGAGTTTGCTTCCTTGAAAAGAGTATTTTAATTCTTTTGGATATCCAAAACATTCAGCTGATTTCATTTTAAGTGATAAAATTCTCACGTCAAGAAAATTCTAGCACCCAATGATTGTAATTACATGTATGTATGACAATGAGAAATGAACCACAGAGAAAAATTTCAGTTAATGATTTCATAATCATACCTTATATATGTGTGACATTTTGAGCTCTTTGACTACACTGAAGTAATTTGAATTGGTTAATTGGGTAGGACGTTAAGCTGGCTCCATTTTATTATTTCCAAAACCTCACAAAATAAATGAAAAGGTTTGGGGAAAAGGTGTGTTGCTAATTCTTTCATGTCTCTGTTGTAAAATTTGGTTCCATTCTTGATTGCTTTTGTTACTGTTATTTTCTTTCTTCTTGTATTTAAACATTGATAATTACTTTTCAGCAGTATACTTACCCTCACTTGGAATTTGTGTAACTGTAGTACACTCACCTTTTCCAGGTAGGTAATGAAGAGATGCTTTTCGTTGCTAGAACATCACTGCACAGCTCCTGTTTTTCTTCAAAAGAACATAGACAAAACTATCACATTTGGATGATCACACAATAAACTGAACCAAAAGAAATGTTAGTTGTTCATTAACTACCTCTGTGTAATATAGATTTCTATTCAAACATCCATTTATAAAACTGTACCAGTTTTAAGGAGATTTGTAACGTATTCTTAAGGTAGTTCATAATGTTTTAAAATAAGGTTTATGTAGTATATATAGTTATCCAGGAGACTCTGTAACATTTTTGGGGGTAATTTTTAAATTGACATTTCTTACAGTGCCTGGAGGACTGATCAGAACTGTTGATGCCCTGCTTTCACCAGCCTCTACCAAGACAACCATCTTCCCCTTAATATCCCACTTCCTACTATTTTGGGTTCAGGTTCAAAGACATTCTGATGGATCCCAATAACAAATGTGTCTCCAGTTAGAAAGATGAACTTTAAAGCAGGAAGAAACCTAGAGTCGTTTAGTCTTCTCACTCAGAGGACCTCAGAATTATAGGCTAACAGAGCTTGGTGATTTATTTCCAGTTCACATCAAAGCAGAAATTCTATGATCCACTTGGATTTGACACACATACACACACACGCACACACACACATACATACATTTTATTGGACTTTAGGTGCTGGGGTACATGTGAAGAACATGCAGGATTGTTGTATAGCCACCTACATGGCAATGTGGTTTGCTGCCTCCATCCCCCCATCACCTATATCTGGCATTTCTCCCCATGTTATCACTCCCCAACCTCCCTACCCTCTACCGTCCCTCCCCTATTCCCTCCCAACAGACCCCAGTTTGTGATGCTCGCCTCCCTATGTCCATGTGTTCTCATTCTTCAACACCTGCCTATGAGTGAGAACATGCAGTGTTTGATTTTCTGTTCTTGTGTCAATTTGCTGAGAATGATGGTTTCCAGATTCACCCATGTCCCTATAAAGGACACGAACTCATTGTTTTTTAATGGCTGCACAGTATTCCATGGTGTATATGTGCCACATTTTCCCAGGCCAGTCTATCATCAATGGGCATTTGGGTTGGTTCCAGGTCTTTGCTATTGTAAACAGTGCTGCAATGAACATATGTGTGCATATGTCTTTATAACAGAACGATTTACAATCCTTTGGATATATACCCAGTAATGGGATTGCTGGGTGAAATGGAATTTCTATTTCTAAGGCCGTGAGGAATTGCCACACTGTCTTTCACGATGGTTGAACTAATTTACACTCCCACCAACAGTGTAAAAGTGTTCCTTTTTCTCCACATCCTCTCCAGCATCTGTTGACTCCAGATTTTTTAATGATCGCCATTCTAACTGGCGTGAGATGGTATCTCAATGTGGTTTTGATTTGCATTTCTCTAATGACCAGTGATAATGAGCATTTTTCCATATGTTTGTTGGCCTAATAAATGCCTTCTTTTGAAAAGTGTCTGTTCGTGCCCTTTGCTCACTTTTGAATGGCTTTGTTTGTTTTTTCTTGTAAAATCTTTGTAGATTCTGGATGTTAGTCTTCTGTCAGATGGGTAGATTGCAAAAATTTTTTCCCATTCTGTTGGTTGCCAGTTCACTCTAATGATTGTATCTTTTGCTGTACAGAAGCTCAGGAGTGTAATTAGATCCCATTTGTTTATTTCAGCTTTTGTTGCCAATGCTTTCAGTGTTTTGGTCATGAAGTCCTTGCCTATGCCTATGTCCTGAATGGTTTATCCTAGGTTTTCTTGTAGGGTTTTTATGGTGTTAGGTCTTACATTTAAATCTTAAATCCATGTGATGCTTGTGATTTCTGTACATGGAGTTAATTTGAGTGTAAGGTTTCAGGAAGGGGTCCAGTTTCTGCTTTCTGCACATGGCTAGCCAGTTTCTGCACACATTTTATTAAACAGGGAATCCTTTCCCCATTGCTTGTTTTTGTCAGGTTTGTCAAAGATCAGATGGTTGTAGATGTGTGGTGTTGCCTCTGAGGCCTCTGTTCTGTTCCATTGGTCTATATAGCTGTTTTGGTACCAGTACTATGCTGTTTTGATTACTGTAGCCTTGTAGTATAGTTTGAAGTCAGGTAGCATGATGCCTCCAGTTTTGTTGTTTTTGCTTAGAATTGTCTTGGCTATGCGGGCTCTCTTTTGGTTCCATATGAAGTTTAAGGTAGTTTTTTCCAGTTCTGTGAAGAGGGTAATAGGTAGCTTGATGGGGATAGCACTGAATCTATAAATTACTTTGGGCAGTATGGCCATTTTCACAATATTGATTCTTCCTAACCATGAGTTTTTCCATCTGTTTGTGCCCTCTCTTATTTCCTTGAGCTGTGGTTTGTAGTTCTCCTTGAATAGGTCCTTTACATCTTTTGTTAGTTGTATTCCTAGGTATTTTATTCTCTTTGTAGCAATTGTGAATGGCAGTTTGTTCTTGATTTGGCTCTCTTTAAGTCTGTTATTGGTGTACAGGAATGCTTGTGATTTGTGCACATTGATTTTGTATCCTGAGAGTTTGCTGAAGTTGCTTATCAGTTTCAGGAGATTTTGGGCTGAGACGATGGGGTCTTGTAAATATACAATCATGTCATCTGCAAACAGAGACAATTTGACTTCCTCCTTTCCTAACTGAATTCCCTTTATTTCTTTTCTTGCCTGATTGCTCTGGCTAGAACTTCCAGTACCATATTGAATAGGAGTGGTGAGAGAAAGCATCCTTGTCTAGTGCCAGATTTCAAAGGGAATGCTTCCAGTTTTGCCCATTCAGTATGATATTATTGGCTGTGGGTTTGTTGTGTATAGCTTTTATTGCTTTGAGATAAGTTCCATCAACATCTAGTTTATTGAGTTTTTAGCATAAAGGGCTGCTGAATTTTGTTGAAGGCCTTCTCTGCATCTATGGAGATGCTCATGTGGTTTTTTATCTTTGGTTCTGTTTATGTGGTGGATTATGTATAAAGACTTGCATATGTTGAACCAGTCTTGCATCCCCAGGATGAAGCCTACTAGATCGTGATGGATAAGCTTTTTGATGTGCAGTTGCAATCAGTTTGCCAGTATTTTATTGAAGATTTTTGCATCTATGTTCCTCATGGATATTGGCCTGAAGTTTTCTGTTTTGGTTGAGTCTCTGCCGGGTTTTGGTATCATGATGATGTAAGTCTCATAAAATTCTTTGGGAAGGATTCTCTCTTTTTGGATTGTTTGCAATAGTTTCAGAAGGAGTAGTAGCAGCTCCTCTTTGTATGTCTGGTAGAATTCAGCTGTGAACCCATCTGGACATGAGCTTTTTTTGGTTGGTAGGCTATTAATTGCTGTCTCAACTTCAGCCCTTGTTATTGGTCTATTCAGGGTTTCAATTTCCTCGATTTATGCTTGGGAGGGTGAAAGTTTCCAGGAATTTATCCATTTCTTCCAAGTTTATTGGTTTATGTGCACAGAGTTGTCTATAGTCACCTCTGATGGTAGGTTGTATTTCTGTGGAATCAGTGGTGATATGCCCTTTACCATTTTTTATTGCATTTATTTGATTCTTCTCTCTTTTTTTATTAATCTGGCTAGTGTTCTATTTTGTTGATCTTTTAAAAAAAACACCTCCTGGATTTATTGATGTTTTGAAGGTGTTTTTGAGTCTCTATCTCCTTCAGTTCTGCTCTGATCTTACTTATTTCTTGTCTTCTGCTGGCTTTTGAGTTTTTTTTTTTTTTTTTTTTTTTTATCTTGTTCCTCTAGCTCTTTCCATTTTGATGATAAGGTCTTGGTTTTAGATCTTTCCTTGCTTCCCATGTGGGCATTTATTGCTATAAATTTCCCTCTAGATACTGCATTAAATGTGTCCCAGAGATTCTGGTACATTGTGTCTTCATTCTCATTGGTTTCAAAGAACATCTTTATTTCTGCCTTCATTTCATTGTTTATCCAGTCGACATTCAAGAGCCAGTTGTTCAGTTTCCATGAAGCTGTGCGGGTCTGAGTTAGTTTCTTAATCCTGAGTTCTAATTTGATGGCACTATGGCCTGAGAGACTGTTTGTTATGATTTCCGTTCTTTTGCATTTGCCGAGGAGTGATTTACTTCCAATTATGTGGTCAGTTTTAGAGTAGGTGTGATGTGGTGCTGAGAAGAATGTATATTCTGTGGATTTGGAGTGGAGAGTTCTGTAGATGTCTATTAGGTTTGCTTGGTCCAGGTCTGAGTTCAAGTCCTGGATATCCTTGTTCATTTTTTGTCTGGTTGATCTGTCTAATATTGACAATGGAGTGTTAACGTCTCCCACTATTATTACGTGGGAGTCTAAGTCTCTTTGTAGGTCGTTAAGAAATTGCTTTGTGTATCTGGGTGCTCCTGTGTTGGGTGCGTATTTATGTAGAATTGCTGGCTCTTCTTGTTGCATTGATCCTTTTACCATTATGTAATGCCCTTCTTTGTCTCTTTTGATGTTTGTTGGTTTAAAATCTATTTTATCAGAGACTAGGATTGCAATTCCTGCTTTTTATTGTTCTCCATTTGCTTGATAAATCTTCCTCATCCCTTTATTTTGAGCCTGTGTGTGTCCTTGCATGTGAGATGGATTTCCTGGATACAGCACACTGATGGGTTTTGACTTTTTATCCAATTTGCCAGTCTGTGTCTTTCGACTGGGGCATTTAGCCCATTTACATTTAAGGTTAAAATTGTTATGTGTGAATTTGATCTTGCCATTTTTAATCTAGCTGGTTGTTTTGCCCATTAGTTGATGCAGTTTCTTCATTGTGTCAATGCTCTTTACCATTTGGTTTGTTTTTGGAGTGGCTGGTACTGGTTGTTCCTTTCTATGTGTAGTGCTTCTTTCAGGAGGTCTTGTAAAGCAGGCTTGGTGGTGATCAAATCTCTGAGTAATTGCTTGTCCATAAATGATTTTATTTCTCCTTCGTTTATGAAGCTTAGTTTGGCTGGATGTGAAATTCTGGGTTGAAAGTTCTTTTCTTTAAGGATGTTGAATCTTGACCTCCACTCTCTTCTGGCTTGTAGGGTTTCTGCCAAGAGATCTGCTATGAGTCTGATGGGCTTCCCTTTGTGGGTAACCGGACTTTTCTCTCTGGCTACCCTTAGCATTTTTTCCTTCATTTCAACCCTGGTGAATATGACGATTATGTGCCTTGGGGTTGCTCTTTTTGAGGAATATCTTTGTGGTGTTCTCTGTATTTCCTGGACTTGAATATTGGCCTGCCTTGCTAGATTGGGGAAGTTCTCTTGGATAATATCCTGAAGAGTGTTTTCCAGCTGGATTCATTCTCTCCGTCACATTCAGGTACACCTATCAAACATAGATTAGGTCTTTTCACATAATTCCATATTTCTTGGAGGCCTTGTTCATTTCTTTTCACTCTTTTTTCTCTAATCTTGCCTTCTCATTTTATTTCATTGAGTTCAACTTCAATCTCTCATAGCCTTTCTTCTGCTTGGTTGATTCAGCTATTGAAACTTGTGTATGCTTGAGAAGTTCTCATGTTGTGTTTTTCAGCTCCATTAAGTTTTGTATATTCTTCTATAAGCTGTTTAATCTCGTTAGCATTTTGTCAAACCTTTTTTCAATGTTCTTAGTTTCTTTGCATTGGTTTAAAACATGATCTTTTAGCTCAGAGAAGTTTGTTATTACCCACCTTCTGAAGCCTGTTTCTGTTAATTCATCAGACTCAGTCTCCATTTAGCCTTGTTCCCTTGCTGGTGAGGAGTTGTGATCCCTTGGAGGAGGAGAGGCATTCTGATTTTGGGTGTTTTTGTCCTTTGTGCATTGGTTTCTTCCCATCTTTGTAGATTTGTAGTTGTCATCTTTGTAGTTGGTGACTTTCAGATGGGGTCTCTGAGTGGACATCCTTTTTGTTGATGATGAAGTTATTTCTGTTTTTTAGTTTTCCTTCTAACAGTCAGGTCCCTCTGCTACAGGACTGCTGGAGGTCCACTCCAGACCCTGGTTGCCTGGGGATCACCTGTGGCAGCTGCAGAACAGTAAGGGTCGCTGCCAGTTTCTTCTTCTGTTATCTTAGTCGCAGAAGGATACCTGCCAGATGTCAGGCTCAGCTCTACTTTATGAGGTGTCTCTTTGGATATATAGGGGTCAGTGAGCTGCTTGAGGAGACAGTCTGACCCTTGTAGGCACTCAAGCGCTGAATTGTGAGCTCTGTTGTTCTGTTCAGAGCTTCTGGGCAGGTACGTTTAAGTATGCTGCAGTGGAACTCATAATGACCTTTTCCCCCAGGTGCTCTGTCCTGGGTAGGTGGGGCTTTATTTATAAAATCCTGACATGCTGCTGCCTTTTTTTTTAAGAGATGACCTGCCCAACTAGGAGATACCTAGTTACAGTCTGCCAGCAGAGGCATTGCTGAGCTGCTGTGGGCTCTGCCCAGCTGTCGTGTGAACTTCCTTGCAGTTTTGTTTACAGAGGTATAATTAGAACTAGCTCAGTAATGGCAGTCTGCCTCAGTAATGATGGAGAGCCTCTGTAATGGTGGACTGCCTTGCCAATGGTGGACTGCCTCAGTAATGGTGGATGACCTTCCCTCCACAGAGCTGGACCATCCCAAGTCCAGCTGCACTTGCTATAAAACTCTCAATCCAGAGAGTTTCAGATTGCGGGTCTTTGTGGGGGTGGGACCCACTGAGCCAGATCACCTGGCTCCCTGTTTCAGCCCCCTTTTTTTCAGTTGAATGGGCGGCTCTGTCTCCCAGGCATTCCAAAAGCCAGTTGAAATGGCCGCCCAGATTTGTGTGAGTTTTTGTGTGGAGACCTGCTGCGCAGGCTGAAACAGCTGTGCTGGAAACTCAAGGTGCTTTTCAGCCTGGGAATCTCCTGGTCTGTGGGCAGTAATAACTCATTTGGAAATGCGGTGATCACTCATCCTCTGCGTTGTTCTCGCTCAGAACTGCACTTCAGAGCTGTTCCTATTTGGCCATCTTGGATCCCTGTCTGGATTGATTTAGGAGAGTGTTGAGGAGAGTATAAGCCATGAGTGGATGTAGAAGTCTTTATTATAACTGTCCAGACATCTTGATGCACTAAGTGAACATTTACCAACAAGTTTAGGGTTATCAAAGGCTAAGTGGAAGAGGACATCAACAAGCAAAGTTCTGGATGGTGGGTAAACGGCTGAGGATCTGCCTCACTCTTTTAAGGAAAAAAAATGGGCGAACAGATGTTTTCCAACCATGCTGTAGGCAGCACTGGTTTTGCTCAGTGACTTGCAATGCAAAGTGAAAATTTTTAACCCAACAGCTAACTAATTCAAAATAATAGTCATTTGAAAACATTTCACAATTTTTTCCTGCCAAACCCAGGAAGAGTATTTAAAATTAAATATTAATTTTAGGATAAAGTTGTATTAGCAATTTTTTCTAGTACAATTTGGAAATCCAACAAAACCATATTTGAAGGCATAGCAGTAGTTTGAACTGTCTATAAAAGTCTGGCTTTAAAATTAAGACACCCTTACAAAGAAATCCTGATAGTGGAGTTGCAAATTATTGTAATTAAGATGAAAAAGAAAAAGCGTGATTTCTTAGGGACCTCACTAAAGGGTTCAAACATAAAGTTGTGAATGAATAGCAGATTAGGTTACCTAAGCAACCAAGAAGGAAGGAAGAACATGCCACCAAAAGAGAATATAAAACCATGGCATGGATCATAAAAGGATTGGGGATGATGAAACCAAATGAGCTCAGACTTACTAAGAAGACTAAGACCTTCAAAGCTTATTTCAAAATAAGACAAAGGCAATGAAAACAAGGGATGTGCTTCTTGGGTCCAATGGTATAATATTAAAATAAAGAGAATGTGATAATAATAACGTTAGAATGCATAATAAAAGAAGTACAGTAATAACAATGAATGAACACGAAGAAGATAAATATTCTGAATCTAGTTTGTTTTCAGCTTCTCTACCCAGGAAGTGATTACTGCATTGAATATTATAAGATGGCAACTTATGCCTTAAATAAGTTCAAGTTTTTTATCTGAGACACATTACATTCCCTGGGCATGAAGAAACTAATAAACGTGTTTGTTGAACTACTTTTAGGAAGCTCAGAAGAATCATGAAAAGCAGAAAGTTACTAAAAGATAAAAAAACAGGGACTGTCATCATCATAATTTTCAAAACTCTTTTTGAAAATTATTGACCTGCTATTAATCCTAATCAAAATTAAAAAGAGAATTCAAAACAGAGAATGGTATAAGTCTATGGAAATTTCTGGCAGTGTGGCAGGGTTGCAGACACTATCCTCGGCCAGAAAGTCCTCTGCCCATCAAAACATACAAGGTTGGCAGCTCACCCTCTCTCTACTCCTCTCATTTCTAGTAAAACAAACCTAATTTTTTAAAATCCAAATTTAATTTTTTAAAACCCAAACTTCTGATCTACATATCAGGCTGTCGAGCCATATTGAAAACGTCTCAAACATTATAGCTAATATAGATAGATATAGATATGCGAACTGATTTGTTTTACCTTGGTTTGTAAGAGGAATTGCCTTTTCTTCTTGTTTCCATGAAACATCGGCGTTGCTTTTATCTGAAACCTGAAAAACAAGCTCTTTAAAAAGATAGGACATATTATAAACTTGATAAAAGACCATGAAAGGCAGTGCCCCCATCAGAAGAGAGATCATAATGTTAGCAGCAGTGAAGTTATGCACCTGTTACAAAGAGAACAAATGGTACATGTACAAAATGAAAATAGCATACATTTCAAGGATGATTACATTATCACAGTCATGTTTTCTCATTTGATTTCCTTAGTGATTTTTGTATTTCTACTAATATTTGTACTGATATTTTAAAAATCGATATCACACACGGATGTAACGATACAACATGTCGGTCAAGTATTTCATTCACTAGCAACAACCATTGAGCCTCTATTGTTTTTTTGCTTGTTTTTTGAGACATAGTCTCATTCTGTCACCAGACTGGAGTGCAGTTGCGTGATCTCGGCTCACTGCAACCTCCAGCTCCCTGGTTCAAGTGATTCTCCTGCCTCAGCCTCCTGAGTAGGACTGGGACTACAGGTGTGCACTGCCATGTCCAGCTAATTTTTGTATTTGTTTTAGTAGAAACGGGGTTTCACCATGTTGGCCAATGTAGTCTTAATCTCTTGAACTCATGATCTGCCCACCTCTGCTTCCCAAAGTGCTGGGATTACAGGCCTGAGCCACTGTGCCCAGCCACCTCTATTGTTTTGAGGAAGCTTAGGGTACCTCTGGTTGCTGCAATGCAGACACAGTAGGAGTACAGCATCCATGCCACGAAAACTTTGGAGAGTTTGGGGCTGGGGCCTGTAGTCCCAAAACACAATAAATAAGAATATGGGGAAGAGGATGGGGAGTTGACCTGGAATACTGGGGGATGGGACATCTCATCTTCTAAGAGAATCCCAGGCAAATTGCCTGAAAGGGGCTGCAGAGCCTTAGTGTGTTGATTGCTGGAGCCAGGAGGGCTACTTGCACCTGGAAAGAGAGAGGATATATATGTGTTTTTGTGTGGTTGTGGGGCTGAAAAGGTGGGAATGGATGGGGGACATTTGAGGGGTGGAGTGCACCATTCATAAACCAGGTCTATCATCACTTTGGGAATCCTGTTAGGATCCCTTTTACAAGACTCACACAAAGGAGACTTACACTTTGTGAATATACTTTAGATGCGAGAGAGAGAGAGAGAGAGAGAGAGAGAGAGAGAGAGAGAGTGAAAGTGTCTGTTTATGCGTTCAGGGAAAGACACCCGGAATGCTCCATGTATTTTGTAAATCTGTGAGAAGGTGTTGGAACAGGCAGTTGTGAAAGAAAGGAAGGAAGGAAATGAAGAAGGCAAGCAAAGGCAAAAGCTCCTGTCTACTCCTTGCTCTGAAGACCCCTGAACACAAACTAATACACACACAACCATGTCCCCAACCAACTCTGTTACCTCGTGGAAGATGGAGCTGACAGTTTTCTTGAAGTTTTCTCATCTTTCATCTTTCATGCCCCTTCCAACCTGCTAAACAAATGTGGTCTAAAGAGGATGTCAACCCTCTTTTTTTCCCCACCCAGGAAACAAAGGGGTATTTTTACACAGCATTCCGGAAACTGTGCTCTCTCAGGAAGTAGGTTAAATGGGCACACACGCAGAGCCTAGTAACAAAATAACTATGTAGCTGTCTATCATTGCCATTTTCCATTTCACCAAATCAAGAGCAAGAAAAGCCTTAGGGATAAGGGAGAAATAAATAAGACTACTTCTAAGCTACTTTTGTCTATTTCAAAAAAAATTTTTGTACTTAAACTGTAAATAAGCGCCTGCCCCAGGAAGCAATCAAAATGCATATTTCTTAAAGATTCATTTTGCGACCACACAATTACCACACAGCCGTGGCACAGACATAGGCCTCAGGTCTCCGGCCTCAGAGCCAGACCCCGCCACCTCACGATATCCGACCAGATTTAGGAACAAGGAGTAGAGGTTTGCCACTCTTAGATGACTAAGCAGTATCACAAAAATGATGTCTAGCAACTCCAGTGAAGCTGATGTGATAATAACAAGAATATCTACTTATGATGATGACAACACTGTTCTTCATGCATATGAAACAAAACATAAATTTGCAAATGAAACAAAAACTGAGCAGGAACCGATTACTGTAGCTGATGCATCCTGTAATACTGAAGAGCAACCGAAGTCAGTGTATGATGTCGTTACCTATTGCCAAGTTATATATGATACTATCCAACACCTGGATAAGAAGATTGATGGCATTAGCAGAAAGGTTTCAAAAATCCAACGTTTCAATGCAAAAGCAGTGTGGACGAATCGCAAGCCATCTGGCTTTGGATATAGATATGCATACAGAAATTATTCTTGCCTGCTTGCTAAAAAGCTTAAACTCCAGAAAACGAAGAAAAGTCAGGCTTACGAGACATTCTCCTACCCTCAAAGTTATAGTCCCACTTCACCAGTGGCAGTGCAGGCGGATAATTCCCAGAGGAACAATCCAGCACCATCCTTTCACATGGAAGAAGAATACCAGCGAGCTGAGCCGGAGGAGGACCCAGTCCTCAGCTGCACTCCGAGTCCAGTGCATCCCTCAGACCACTCTGAGCATGGTTTTCAACCATCTTATGCATCTGATGGTGCAATGCCTGGCTCTTCAGGGCCCTACCGTGGCAGCGCTAGGGTTAACAGCAGCCAAGTTACAAGCATACCAATGGACAATGACCTGTATTTAGAGGACAACTTCATTAAGCACCCTGCAACATGGTCGGTGGAAGCAGTGGGTTTATTTCTGAAGCAAACGGATCCTAAGACATTATGCCCTCTTGTCGATCTCTTCAGAACCTATAAAACTGATGGGAAGGCTCTGCTCCTACTCACGAGCGACCTGATGCTGAAGTACTTGGGTCGGAAGCTGGGAAGGGTCATGAAGCTATGCTACTACATTGAACAACTTAAACAAGGAAAATGCTTTGAAAATTAAAAAAAAATCCTTGTACAAATTTAGATTGGGCCAACTTCCAGAGATACCAATGCCTTCTTAGTGTAGAATCATTTTTCTGCCCTTTAGTCATTTTTGTTTTTTAGAAAGTATCTCTCAAAATACAGCCAGAATTGTAGAACTATGTTATAGTCCAGTCCACTACTTTCAAAACCATTTAACTGCTAGATAGTATTAGAATAGTCCAATAGGAAATTTATTCTTTATAGGTCTTAAAAAAATTACTCTTATTATATTGTTTACAAACATTTCATGCAAGAAATGGAAAATAAACCCCTTTGATTCTGGTTCATCTTTATACAGAGAACTAAGACAGCTAAGAGAGGTATTATCAGGGGTTGGCAACTTCCATGATGAAATCTATGGGGATTTTTCCTCAGAAGAGAATTTAAAGGTGTACCCATAGATAGCTCTTTCTGAAGTATTTTGTCTGTCTGATGCTGCCGTGTTCTACCAGTTTCCAGAAAGAGAATAGCCATGTAAGTTATTTTTCTTTCTGCTATTATTTGTCTACAAGTTTTACTCAGATTCAGAGAAAAAAATAAGCTTAAAAACTTTTATGAAGTGCTCTTAACAGTTTTTAGATAAACTATATGATAGATAGAATGGTTATTTTATGCAAGAAATATACTACAAGGGTGGTTTCAATAGTCTGACTACTTTTTTTCCAAAAAACTATTCTACTAAAACTTCCATATTTTGGCTAAGTTTGGACATTTAACTACACTTTCATTGTTTGCACCTCTCTATAAAGATACCTCTGTCTACACTTTTAAGATATATAACTTTATGTGTTTATTCTTTATATAGATAGTATTTCATATTTTATTCTAACCTGAAGTATACACACAAGTAATTTTTTCTTAATTTAAAATGGCATTTTGTATTCCCCCGGAGGTAGGATGAGCCGTATATTTGTAAGATGTTTTATTTTGTGAAATCTAAGTGGATTATTTGCCATCACTAGTACCTCTCAACTTACTTTTCAGAGGACAAGAAACAATCTGTGGATTGGTTTCCATACAGGGAAGTTCTCTGTCCTGTGGAATATTTCTAATTTGCTTAGTTCTGAGCCATTTATCCTGCTACACTTTGAATGATACATTAATTCAGACTAATGTTTGGGGGCTTTATTTTGTAAGTTACAACTTTCAAGTGAAACATATTCAACACTATTATTTCATTATAAATGTATAACATGTTTATTACATTGTATAACAAATATAAGGTTTATAAGCTCTAAGAATTGGTGCTGTCACCATTAGCCACTTAAAAATGTGAAGAAAATGTTCACCAGGGGCAATAATGTACCTTTTCTTGTTAGAAAACCAAACATACTTTAGACACGACTGCAACTACTTACAGAATAGCTTCACCTATGTTACGTCTTGTATGTCATAAGGTTCTTATTAAACTCGGTCTTTTTCAAATTGTTTCTGTGAATATGCTCTACCCACTTGAACAGTCCTTCGGTGTTTACATAAATACTGTGTTTTGCAGTTTTCATATTAAAAAACATAAAGTTAAATCATCTCAACGATTCATTTAAAAAAAAGATTCATTTTGCAAAAATCTTGAAAGTGACTTTAAAAGGCATGTTTTATTTACTTCTGATGAACATAAAATGTAAAGTTTTCTTCTGATGCACTGATACGTAAGGAAGATCTGCATGATACTAAGTGTCTCCAACTTCAGACTAAAGATTTTTCCAAGCAGTTTATAAACAGCATAGACTATTTTCAACAACAGCTAATAGGAACCACAAGATAAGCTTAGGAGGAGAACTATTTAATGCCTTTCATTATAAGCACTTCATTATAATCCATGATGATTATATCAAAATGTGTTAATTTTCTTTGGGAACTTTCTTCTATGATGAAATCAGACAAGATAAAAGTATCCAAGATTAAAGAAAATGACAGTACTCCCAGATGAGAAGTTTTGTTGTTGGTGTTATTAATGCAGCCTCACAAAATTAATTATGTTTGCGTTATACTGTTTGGTTGTCTGCTTTGAGCTCTGTCTTGTTGAGGCTGTTTTTACTAGGATCAGATA